TTGTATGAAAAGTGTAGATGAGGGCAATAATTATAAAATTTAAGTGGTGGTGGATGCATTAGTCAAAATGTCCTTATTCTCGTGCCAAAGCCTCCAAGTCACACCAACGGATCTACACAGATAGGCCCCTGCCTAGTCTTGCCATCTCCAGTTCAGCTCCCCCCGACCCGTGCTGGGGAGTCACAGTACTGACACCTTCTCTTTTTAAACCCGTATTAAGGGTCTGATGCTGCAAGTTGCTGGGAGATCTCCTAACTATCGCAAACTTCAAAGGGCACGTGGGGCACCAGAAACTGCATGGGAGGTTTGCTGATCTCCCAGAAATAGCCTGTATCATTTTTGTAGGAGGAAACAAGATCAGTTTTAACTATGCACTGAATTAACCAGAAGGTCAGGAGTGGACAGGATAGTACATATTCTTACATCAATTTTTGCTTTAAAATTTGTTTTAAGGATTTACTTTCCCTCACATAGATATAAAAAAAGTCATTAATTCTTTTTCCTATCTAACAATTAGGTGCATAATAAGTAGCTACAATCATTTCTTAATGTTGTGTCACTGAACATGCAAAACTCAAGACTGCAATCTGCCATTTTATGTTAGTTAAGCAGCTGTGCCTGTATGCAAATGAAAATCTGTTTTTTTCATATAAAGGCATGCATATGTGCATGTATGCATATAAATACAAAGATTCCTGATGTGACAATTTGAATGTAAAACATCAGATGCCTAAGCAGCAAGATGAGCACTGATATAACACCTACAAGCCTTCACTGTAGTAAAGGCATTAGTGTTAGGATAAGAACACATAAAAGGAAAGCTCTGAAACTAAATGAGGCTTTGTAATTTTTTTCCTGTTCACAGTATTATGTTTACTACTATCTGTTACCTTGAGCAATCTGATCTAACTTTGAAGCTTTGAAGCTTTGAGCACAAGATAGAACTGGAAGACCTCCAGAGGTCCCTTCAAACTTTTTTTTAATTATTATTTTTTAAATGATTATAGAATTCTAATGAAGGATTCAGCAGATCCAAATTCAGTCAGTTACTTCCATCTCCTTCAGTACACTCAATTTATCAAGATTTTGCACTTTCTTCCTTGATCTCCAGTTTTTTTTCTCAAATCCGTTTAGCTTACAACTGAGAGGAAAACTTTCTGCCAAGGAAAAAAGGAAACGATTGAGTCATTTCAGCAGGAATCCATTGTTCCAGTATCAAGATTTTGCACTTTCTTCCTTGATCTCCAGTTTTTTTTCTCAAATCCGTTTAGCTTACAACTGAGAGGAAAACTTTCTGCCAAGGAAAAAAGGAAACGATTGAGTCATTTTAGCAGGAATCCAATCTATTGTTCCAGGACCCTCCAGGATTTTCTTCTCCCCATGAGGATGAGTGCATACCATATGAAATACACCCTAACCTCCTGAGCAACAAAACTAAACACCACTTCCGAACACGTGTTCCTAAGTTTAGAAAACATGATTAATTGGAGCAGGATCAATAAATAGCGAAATAAGAAAAATACTTCCTTTCTTCTCTACAGATCACGCACATACGTTATTAGTTTTGATAATGTGACAATATCTGGAAGACATTTGACCTTGTAAAATTAGTTTATTCTGAGGAGTGGAATGCCTTTTGTGGAGGTCAGGAAAAGACCCTTTGCAAACGATGGGGAAGGAATGGGGGTTAATAGAACAAAATAAAAATCTTATTCAAGACAGGTGGAGCACTTAACTTCAGTTCCTCCACACTTAATGAGAAATCTGTGCCACAGCCCTAATAAAGTTAAAAATTAATTGCAATGTATTGCCCATTAACAGCCAGTTTTCAAAACAAAGGGAGAATGGGGAATTTGCTCACTCTGGTATTTTACAACATCCAACAACAACACATAACTACAACACAAGTACAGGCAGAGCAGGGAGCTGGAAATATTAATAGGACAGGTACAAATAGAAAAGCAAGAATGTCTATTCATATAGATGAAGATTAAACAGTACAACAGAAAATTGACATTGATACTAGCAGAAAGAATAAAAAGAACATCTAATAATACCAACCCTTGCAATAAAAGCTTTTGACCTGTAGCTTAGATGAAGAGTATTCAAATATAAAAGGGCGTTGGATGATAACGCAGCAAGAGAGATGGAAGCAAGCACAAACTACAGAAGATGTGATTAACATAATGGGGATATGGAATCACACAGGATTTTAAAGGGAACATTATGCTGAAATGAGGCCGCAGAAGACCACAAACCCTGTAGCGAGCAAGCGTAAGATTTAAGTGAGTTGAGGTGAGAATCCACTATGGACAGGAAGAGAACGGGCAAGGGACCAACGGTTTTGTAGAAGTTGTCTTATGTGCTATGGGGTCCAAGAAGGCAAAAAGGAAAGAAAAAAAAAAAAAAGAAAAGATGAACTCGTTTAAGCCAAACTTCCCTCTCTTTGGAGGAAAGCAACCTGGCAACTGGAAAAAAGTGAAGGAATACAAGTATCACACCTTTTAGAGAGTCCTTAATAACGAGGACTGCTAATGTTTTCACTACTAAATAGACTGCTATCCCCCTGTAAAAAGGACAAAATGAGTAAAATGTGCAGGTAGAGACAAGGCCACAGGCTGCAATCCAAGGCACCAAATCTTCACAGATTCTGCACAGCTAGACCTTCCAGCCTCCCCGAGCTCAAACTGAACTGGTGCAAGACAGGACATTGCAAGGGCAAGGAGTAAAGCTGAGTATATATCTCAGAACGAAAACCTTCCTCAGGAACCTCCATCAGGTGTCCAGAAATCTGCCCACACAACACTGCAGAACTGGGATCTATGTCCTTATTTGAATGTAAAATAATTTTACTTTAATGAGTATGTATTTTAAAAATCTATTAGTATCCTTCTCAGAGAACTTCAGCGAATACAATCAATAACTCCTAAAATATTCACAACTAAAAGACAATCAAGAAGATATTGCAAGTGTATTGATTTAAGCAAAACAACCTTTCAAACCATTTGGTTATCAATGGCATGTGGTTCCTTAAAAAAAATTCATGTGAAAACTTGTTTTGGATTAAATGCTTGAACAGTGTCTCTATTTTTACATTTGCAAATCCAGAGGAAGTAAATTTATGGAAGCAGCGGTTTCCATTTGATCAACATAAAGGTCAAAGAATAGATAGATTGGATATGTTATTAAAACAAGCTATAAACATTGTTAATGTTTCCTTGACAATGTCATATAATTTTTCCTCTGAGCAGGAAGTATCCCGGCTATGCCAATACAAATGTCGGGTTCCAGGGCCAGGAAATAACTGTGTCCAGAAAAATTAGCAGGACAGTATGCATCCATTTAAAAGAGTCTTTGAAATAGAATTCCTTACAAATGTTAATACACATAATCTTAAAGAGGCAAGACTCGATTAAGTTCAAGAGGGTACATGTGAATAATAAAGAGGTTTTTCCCATTTTTAAAAATAGCCTAGAATTGTGGGAGAATTTAACTTCTGATCTGTATTTAAAAATATATTACAAAATAATGAACTGCAACTTAATGGAAGGTGGGTAACATTGCCTTACATACACTTTTCTGCTTACAATTTGCTGTGAACTAAAAGCAGCAGAGCTTCAGAAAGAGAAGAATTTCATGCTAACAAAATAACTTCCTAAGGGTTTCATTCAGAGTTTACTGAAGTCAGAGGGCAGCTGTTTTGGTTACTCTAATGGGCTTTGGTTCATGCCCTAAGAAAACAGACTAATCTGAGAGCTTCCCATTGGATTTATGCAGGGTATTGTAGGCCACAAACACATAAGACTGGTCAAACTCTATGCCAGATCTTAAAAAAAGACCAAGAAGTTGTCAGAGGTTCACATGAGCCAAAGGAAAGTGAATGGCATAGATCATAAGATCATATATCAATTTTTCTCCAGAAAGCTTAAAATATACACTCTGCAGAAAGCAATTTTTGCATCTCCAAACATTTTATAAACATTAAAAGACCTAGCTCCTAAGAGAAGGGTAGTTCTGAGAACAACTTGCTGTGTAATCTACAGTGCACAGTCAAAATTGTGACAGGTATATAGTAAGGGAGTGCTGTAAACCTGCAGCTGGAATATGCCCCCTGCAGAAGCTAGTGTCTCTCCACCAGTGCAGTGGATGCACAGAGGATTATGGACACCGTGATCACCACCCTGCCCACTGGGAGCATTCAAACCACAGCCTTGGCCCCATCTGTCTTTCACTAATTTCTATCCAGCTCTGCAACACTGAAAGCTGCAGCTTCTCCCCTTCTGCTCTCAGCTCTCCCTTCCTTTAGCAGGGATAAGTGAGGTTATTTTCTCAGCTCCTACATGTCCTGAAGGATTTCACCCTTAATTAGTCCTGAGCAAATACAGCACGATATGCAACCAAGTGTTCCTTCATTTCAGCATGTTACTCTCTTTCAACAGGCTGCACGCCAAAATCATTTCCCCTGGTCAAAAAGGAACATGGCTTTCAAATGTGCTTTGAAATTTCACACACTTTGATATATATAGAAAGTACTTATAGCACTTGCAGAGTATTTTAATTGGCTTCTTAGCAGGACAGAGGATTTCACTAATTCAGAAAAAAGTTGTGCATTTAAAGTTACATTTCCAATCTCTAGAACAAGATTAACGTAAAAAGTTTTTTCTAATGCTAAGATTCAAGGTACTTCAGATGGCATTAATCAGATCTTTTAAATTATAATTATACTACCCGTACTTTTCTTCATGCTGCCTCAGGAAAGCTGGCATTAAAGACAGCAGCATTCATGCTGGGAATGTTTTTGATACGAAACAAGGTGAGAGGAGGACAAAAATTTGATAAATATCCATAAGACACAATCTACTTTTATGCAGAAGTCTAACTGTCAGATATGCAACAATCTGAAATCATCACAAGAGCAGCTGGAAGGTTAAGTTAATACAGCTCTCTGTATATGCCAGTTTGCCTCTTCTACTTCATTAAAAAATTGGATGTCTACTCACCAGTTTCCTGGGGGAAAGGTATTCATCCATAAGCAGCTCTCCATCGTCTTTAATCAGCGGACTGGGATTTAGGTTGCCTCGCCAACTCAAATCAGTCACCCGGACTGCAGCTGAGGCCGGACGAGAAACTCTGCCAGGATTCCACTTCAGGTCCATCTCAATATGCTTTGAACAAAAGAATAACAAGTGGTCTGATTTTTTTCCCTGTATTTATTATTTTCCCTTTAGCACAATCTGTTTTGAGTCCCATTGCAAGTCAGCAAGTGCCTATGCAGGTACAGGTTTCTCTAATCAGAAAGAACCCAAAGCGATGCATCACGTAACATATATTCTTCCTTTTCTTCAACCTCAATAGCTATCCTAGTCCCACATCTCATTCAGCTTTGAGTGTAAACTTCCATAGCAAATTATCATTTACAGTTATACAAAAAGCCAGGCATACCTATGGCTCTGTACAAAGAAGGTAGTCAAGAACAAACAACTCAGAGCACTAGTCCTTTCCAGTCTTCTCACTACTCCACTCACCCTTCTCCGACGGCAGTGAACTTCCCATCCACATGGGCCACCTACCTACCCATCCCCTCTTGAGAAATGCTAACAGCACTCAACAAAACTCTGCTGGGCTCCGGGCTACAAATGCCAGCACCAAGACATGTCACCACTTCTCTCCAGTGTTCTGAGCTCTGCCTGTAGGTAGCACAGACAGCAGCACTCTGTATTTGCTATCCTGAATTAAATGTACCTGCACTGTTACTGACTGCCCTCTGGGTCAGGCAGGCCATGGCTACTGACTTCTAGTTCTGAAGAGAGTCTTGGAGAAAATAAAATCAAAATACCATTTAAACAAAACTGTGTATGCTTCAAGTGAGGAATGAAATCCAAAGTTTGAAGATGAAGCGCTTCAAAAGTGTCCATTCTTCAATTCCCAAAGCTATTCCTTTTCCAGAAATATTAACAATTAACTTTGAAATATGAGAACAAGCGTATGTACATTCGTTAGAGTCAAAAAGCAATCAGCTGTACCCAAATGGTACAAGCATTACTATGATTTATACAGCTATTTACTACTACTTGGCAGCAAGGAAATTTCACAGCTGGAAACATAGCTGTAACAACAAAAGGTTAGACTAGAGAAAAGCCTTCTTGCTCTGCTGAAGGGACACCTGCAGTTTTCCTCTGTTCTCCACTGTGAAGCAACAGTTATTCTTAGTGCTAGAAAAGTAATTAAATAATCAAGCTAATCATAACTGGCTGACAAGGCTTCAGTGGTGGCCAAGAACTGAGAATTACCACCTTTCTTCCCCCTCATACTAATAAGCAGTTAAACACAGGAGTGATTTCTGTTAAGAAAAATAGAAGAAGTTCTGACTGCTCAGCTAGCCATCTCTACTCGAGAGGACTGACCGGTTAGTAGGTGAGAGAGGTTTATACCAGAGACTTCTTGCTCTGACTACTCACACCCAGTCAAAAGTCTTCATCTCTGCACTAGCAAAGGAAATTCAAAAGACTCAGTATTGTCAGAGAAAATAGCAGCCCTTATCTGAAGAACAACAAATTAACGATCCACCAAACCTCTCCCTGCAGGATCTCCTAGCATTAGGAAGAGAGGAACCAACACCTCACACTTCTAAGTGCTCCTTCCATATGCTTATCAGGGGAGAGGCAACGCACAGAAAGCAAAAACTATTTTTCCCAGATCACTGCATGTACCTGGCAAGCATTCCTAGAGAAGAAGCTGACTTCTCAACTGTGCTACATCTGAGCCACAACAATGTTCAATGCTTAAAAAACATATTCAAGAACAAATTCTTCAGAGACACATTACTCCTTTCAATCTTTCTTAATGGCTTATAAACACCATAAAGTTAATTGAGCAGTGACATTTGCAGCTTCTAAAACCTCAGCATACCCATAGTAGCATAAGGACAACTTTCATACTTCTGCCCATTAAGAGGGAAAAGTGACCTCAAAAACACTATATGTCTGAGTTTTTGGAAGAAAACCCTACAAATTTCTATTATTTGTTTCTTTTTCCAAAGAATTCTATAATTTCTCAGATTTTTTTTCCTCTACTTTCTTTAGAGCAGGTTAGTATGATTTAGACAGTACACTGAGTTGCAACAGCCATCAGTTGTCCAAGGAAATTGAAGAATCTTATGTGACATGAAGGTCTTCTGGTGTTGTCTTTATTTGCCTAAGAAAGAATTATTTTGGTCAATAACTGACTTGGATTAGAACATCTGCCATATAAATGCTGGAATACTTTGACAGTTGCACAAGACTTGTGTTGGATCGTGTGCAAATTCTGGTGGTTCCTTCTAATTCAAGCGAGGATCGTTATTATCCAGAGATAATCCTGTATGCTATCAGAGACAGGTGGAGCAATAGTCAGAAATCACTGATACAACGTGCGAGTGCAAAACGTGAGATAACAGCAGGATTGTGTAGATTCAGGCTGTAAAGAGTTAATACACTTGCATAAAACAAATTATTGTTCTCCTTTCTTCAGTCCATCACTATTACATTTCAGAACGTCCTCCAATCTTTAAAATATGTGTTGATACAGCACTTACTTAAGGTTTGACAGGGAGATCAATTTGTGGCTTAATATCTGAAGTAACACTTCCAATTCTATACTTCCCGCTATTGATCTGCTGCTTGTAATTATTGTAACATTGGATTAGCAAGAAGAAAAGTATTTTCATTACAAATTGCCTGGGATCAAATTGAGTTATTGTCAGCAAACAAAACTAATTTTTTTTTAATGTGCTTCCATCACTTCAAAACTTTCTCCAGAGAAGAAAGAATCTTCTCCTGAACATGGATCAAAATAACATCCTCAAAATGAGGAATATAGAAAAGCTAAGAGTGCAGGAATCCTAGTGGTGAGGTACCAATCTTACATAAAAATCCATAAGCCTCTGAAATCTCCAGCACTGTATAGGAGCAAGAAGGGGGCCTGGCAAAACACTTGTCCTCCTACAGATACAGAAGTCGGATCACTCATTTTCATCAGGTCCACCTAACTTTCTGAGACAGATAAAATCATTCCAGTAAAGCCACCTCACCACTCATTTAAAATGCTAAAAAGAAAATGAGAAATCTATAGCTCTGTCAAATGCACAGGACAAGCAACCACTGACCCAAACTAGTGTTAGCCTCAGTGGGACAGTTGACAGGGACTGGAAAGACTTCACTGTCATTAAAGAGGTCTGAGAAGTCACAAACCTGAAGATACTCCACAGAGAAGATGGTCTCATTGGATATATGTTGAATCTATACGCTAAATGGTAATGCAAATCATTCCAGCAAGACTTTGTGGGACCAACAAGGATGAAAGCTCACTGCATCTAACACAAACCTTCAATGAATTCAATGGGAGAGCAAAGCAACCCCAGTAAGTAGATGAGAGTGTCAGGGAAAGGGAAAATGGCTGGAAAAAAAAGGGGGTTTGTTCTGCATGTGAACATTGAGAAGAATGAAAAGAAGAAGAAATCAATGAACTAGTTTTTTCAGGATTTGCATCACAGGTCTTGACTTGGCAGGCTCTTACACGTGTGGATAACTAGAAGCAGATAATCAGTGAGTGCAGCAGAAATCAATGACCAGAGCAGTGAGATGGATGATCTTGAATTCTATGAACAGTTAATCTGCCAACTTTCCCCACTGCTGCCACTCTCCTTCCCAAAGCAAGTGTGATGATGATAAGCTATTCAATTCACAGGCATGTTGTGAAAGTTCATTAAAAACTGCATAACATTTTCAACATATATAGAAAAAGAGAAAATGGCTGGAAAAAAAAGGGGGTTTGTTCTGCATGTGAACATTGAGAAGAATGAAAAGAAGAAGAAATCAATGAACTAGTTTTTTCAGGATTTGCATCACAGGTCTTGACTTGGCAGGCTCTTACACGTGTGGATAACTAGAAGCAGATAATCAGTGAGTGCAGCAGAAATCAATGACCAGAGCAGTGAGATGGATGATCTTGAATTCTATGAACAGTTAATCTGCCAACTTTCCCCACTGCTGCCACTCTCCTTCCCAAAGCAAGTGTGATGATGATAAGCTATTCAATTCACAGGCATGTTGTGAAAGTTCATTAAAAACTGCATAACATTTTCAACATATATAGAATAATACAGCTAATAAAGATCATTATTAAAATTAAATGATCCTTGGAACAACATGTTATTTGAAATCCCTGCAGAATACTTTAATTTGCTAGAAAGAAATTGGCAGAGAATAGTTATTTGATGTTCTCAGGGTCCGACAAACTGGTAAAACTCCAAGATTTGATTTTCCTGCTACAAGATTTATCGAAGAGTCAATGATAGGATCGTGTATTCTCCATTAAATATATATTAATATGCATTTTAAATACAGAAATTGCCAGAAATGTTTGACTCCATATTAGTTATGGCTTCTTAAGTCTGGGAAAAACCCTTTGAATTGTGTGACTAGGCATGATAATTTCACTTCAAGACGTTACTTAAAGAGCTTGTCCAAGCAATTAGGCTGCCATTTAAAAACAAAAAAACCCAAGCAACAGTAATCAATCCAGATTTACTCTAGGAAAGACATATACCTCCACATATTAACATCCTATACATAAATGAATCTCTACGCCCTTTCTCAACCAGCATCCTCTCCGGCTCTGTCGCTACCCATGCCTTCAAAAAGCTCCACTGGACAAGGAGGAGTGTCATTTTAGGTAGGGTACTGCAATCTGTACGCCCTTATCTTTATGTCACCAGCCTAAAAATTCTCTAGAAAAAAACATTTGAGAACCATTGTGTTATCTATCCCTTCATGACAGGCAGCTTGCACTGCAGACTTCCATTTCTCTTGCCCTGCATAACGTAATTTTTATTTGTTTAATCCAGAATCACAAATTACAGTAGTGCCCATACTGTTACCACTGCCACAGAATGAAAACAAAGAATTCTGTGTTTACTAAGGATTTGACAAAAGGTTTGGTTTAGAAGTCCCAAGGGAACTATGAGTGCCCTTTTAAGTGTAATTTTGTGCAAGTGCACTACAGATAACCTCTTCTGGAAAATAACTGTTCGGGCAGCTGGAATTTACTATGAAGTCATCAGGAAACTACTGTTACAATAATCCACCCCTAATGGCAAAACCAGTTCCTGCTACATTTA